GGGCGGCGGGGGAGTGTGGCGTGACCGGGGATCCCGTGACTGCGGGGCAGGCGGTGGCTCCTTCGGGGAAGCGGCTCCTGCCAGGCGATTCCCAGGCGGCGGCGCACGGTCGGTCTCCTGCCCCGCAGTGCTTCCCCGGTACTGATAAAGATCTCCGGTCCGTTAGGGCGAAACTCGATTTCGTACCTGTCCTTTCAACGCCTTTCAAACCGGAAAAAAAAAAAAATCCCTTTCTCGCCCTTTCTTGTTGCTGTCTGATGAAGAAGGACTTCTGTGTTCCCAAGGGGACCCTGAGCGGTGTAGTTGTTAGTTCTTCTTTTTTGAACCAGTGACTTGACTTTGCTCTCCTCTGCAACGGCCGGTTGCTTTTCACATCGTGGCAGCTGGCTGTACGGACGCGGAGGTGGTGGTGACTGGAGAACCGAAACGGCTAGGTCCAGATTGTTGAATCGCTTATGTCTCAGCGGTTAATGAGCAGTTTTCAGTGTTAATATTCCATGTTAAGTGTAACTTATGCAAAATAATTGCACGAATAACAGAATAGTGCAAGAAAAGTAGTTTTAAAAACCTATATTGGTGTCCTTTATATAACTTGATACATAGCAGTTTTATTAACTGGCGTGGGATAAGCAAGTAGGGAACTCGTTGGCAAAATTTTGTTTTGGAATTAAAACGCTTGTGAGAAGATAGCATCATGCAGTCTGCTGCCCTATGTGTTGTTTTCCCTCTTTGCTGTTTGTCTACAGTAATTTACAGCTCCACTAAATAAGCATGTGGTTTTCATTTGTCTTTTAAAATGTTGTACAAGGCTGAAGTTGTCAGTGCTTGTTGTTTTTAGAGCAAGGGTGGTTGTGTGTGGCAGGCTTTTTTGGGTGGGGGATGATGACTTTTTAGTAACTTATAAGGTAAAAAGCTGTAATGGCAGACCAGAGGGAGAGCTATTTCTCAGACATACCCAAAATCCCTTTTTTTTTTCCCTAGCCATTTTATTTCTAGAGAAACCTAACCAAAGGATGGTACAGTTACATCTGTGTTTCAGTATCAATGTGGAATTTGTAATGAACTGTATTTTTCTGTCTTGTTTCAGGTTGTATGGAGCTCTGTTGCCTTAATTTTAGTAAAGCCTTTTTTGTTAAGTTAAAAATAGGGATTGTGTAGTTAAAAAAAAAAAAAAAGGCTTGCTCTAGCAGTCCTCATTTTGCTTTTGAGTGCTCAAACCATCAGTTTCCCTAAATTGGAAATATGTGATAAAAAGTCTCAGGGGTCAGATGAGGTGCTAGATTTCAAGCTGTATTTTATTTTATGTTAATTTAGTAAAAAATCATGAGAAACAGATCTTTCAGCTCCTTAGGACTAGAATCTTACATAAATGTTTCACAATGAATAAAAACTTCCCAACAGAAAGGCTTTTAAGAATTCCTTAAGGTTGTTTTGTGGGGTTTTTTTTGTTTGTTTGTTTTTTGTTTGTTTGTTTGTTTTTGTGGGTTTTTTTGTTTGTTTTTTTTTATAATGTTCATTCTCCTTGGTGTTTTGTTTCTGTTTTTATTCTCTACCCAGCAGACAGTATGTTGGCCTGGTACAGTGTAACCCACTTAATCCCTTAGGGATGGGTTTTGGTCACATAGTTATATTGGGAAGAATATGAATGCACAGTGTAGCCTGGCCAATAGAGGCTGCTGTTGCTAAGTGTCCCCGGTGAAAAGGGAAGCTAATGCAAGGGAGAAAGATGAGCACATAGGAGCATAAATAATTTCTTGATACGTTATTGAAAGAAGAGAAACAGTAACAGAGAAGTAGGTTGCAAGGAGAATGTCAGTTAACTCATGAACTGTTAGAAATGTTGGATCGAGAGCAGCCATAACTGAGGATGTCTTGAAGTTGGCTGAGAATAGTAGTTTATTTAAATTGGGAGCTGCTCTGAAATGTCAGCTCTGATTAAATCAGAATAAAGAACAGTTGCTCATTCTACTTGAACATGAAGAATGAGGCAGAAAGTGAAAACCAGGTCTCTGCAAGAGTAAACTAACAGGTATAAATGTGGGTTTTTCTCCTGACAAGTTTTGCTGATTGAGTTTGTGGCTAAATATAAGTTAGAATAAATTAAGTGATTCTAGCAGTAGGTACTGGGATGATATAATGATCCAGGGGTTATGTGGATTTAAGGATTCCTTCTCTTGGCTGCTGCTTTCATAGTCCTGAGTCATGCCAGGCAACTGTTTGAACTAGAGTCCTAAACTATGCAGGAGTTAAAAATAACCTTATAAAGAAACACCAGAATACAACTTTTTGGTATACAAATGAGTGGCAACAGCTGTATGTTCAGTTCAGTTTGGGTTGTGTTCATATTACAAATTATTATGAACAAACTCTAGTGATAATCTGGTGTTAGATAAAGTGTATCTAAGCTGCTTACAACTAGATGCAATTTTCAGATAACCTGTCATCAAATTATTAAAGACTTATCCAATAGAAAACACAAACTACCTTCACAGTGCAATGGTGAAATCGTAGAAGGAAGGAGGACTTGCAAGATGATTAGGATCTCAGTAGGTCGGGCCCTATGCTTGAAGGGCTTCCAGGCTTCTGGCAAGGTAGGCAGCTGGCAGGTGGCCGTCAGTAAAGGGGTGTTCCTGATCACAGCTTTTACATCAGTACCCCATGGAGGGGAAGGACAGTTTGGAGGCTGACTAATGTCTGAACTTGTAATGCATTCAAAAGTACAAAGCATGTAACATCTTGACTCCATATCTGTATGTTTCTCGGAACTGAGAGCAAAATCTTTCCAGGTTAAACAGGCTTGTGGCCTCTTAAGCACTAGTCCCATTCTTCTGCCACTTAACTGTCCAGGGTGTAAACCGGTACCTTCTAAATACAAGGATTGGCTAAGCAGAGAAAAGGCTTCTAGAGTCCTTTCATTTTCAAATTTCTGAAGACCTGCAAAGAGTGTAACTACTCTGTAGTGACTGAATATGGAGAGATGTAAAAACTCCACAAACAGTAGGTGTAAGTGTTGAGAACTAATTGCAGTAGTTCTGGATTCTGCCCTTGCTGCTGCAACTCTGATAGTTCTTGGGGCTTGTTTTTCAGACCTCTTACAGAGGAACATTTTATGTAATGAGCCACCACAACTAACAAACTACAGGAAACAACTTTTTTTTTTTTTTATGCTAGTCTGGTAAATATTGTCAAATGGTTTGTTAGTGTTAAAAACGTTATGTTATTGAAAGGCCAGTGTTTTTGTCAGACTAAAAATTGAAGTGTTCTTAAACTATTGAAGCCTTTTTAAACTACTGATGTCTGATACCTGTGGTTTAACAAAATAATATGTCTCGGCAAAGAAAACTGTGAATAAGCTTCAGAGCTGAAATGAATGTGTATATGTGTAAACAGGGAGTTATGAAACATGGTCAGTGTTATTGTTATGCTAGTTATGGAACTGCTAATTCTGCTTGTTGGTAACTTTGACAGTCTTTTTTCTTAAATCTTTAACAAAGATAGCCCTTGTTTTTTAGGGAGTCTTGGCTGAAAGCATGTTAGACTGTAAATAAATGTGATTTGTTGGAACAAACTTGATTCTGCCTTATCTTGGATTTTTTTCCTTTTTCAAGTGAAATGGGTGCTCTTTAATAACTTTAAATAAAGGACAGTGTACCAGATATCTTCAAGGAAACCTTTGGGTTTAGGCTTGATAGCAGGTGGTTCATCAGTGACCACTGGCTGAAAATGGTAAGCGAAATAGATTTTCTTCCCTGTTTATGTTAGAAAGTAGGTACAAGTGTATAAACAATAGTCTGGAAATTTGAAGTGCCCCTTACATCTATTTCTTTTCAAATACTGAGGGAATTTTGTGGTGCTATTGCAACAGTTCCAGGTTTTGGTGTCTTTTATTAAAAAAGGAGGTGTTTTAAAAGTGAAACTATAAATTGGTCCAACTGATTCAGTTTGCTTAATAGTTTGTGCTTGTCGACATGATAGATACAATGCAATTACTGTGTTGGCTAACAGTATTTTTCTGTAGATGTAACTTGAGTTCAGCACCTGTCTTCAGCCTTCATTACTCTGGTATAATCAGGTCCTCCTTAATCTGTTAAATCATTTTTACAGTAAAAAAAAAAAAAAAGACAACTTACTAGACAAAGTTTGAGTGTTGCTACTATGGTTTTGTAGACCAAAAATCTAGCTTTTCTTTGAGTGCTGTCTCAGTACCAGTGTTAAAAGAGGTAATTGCACTCAATACAGCTATGAAGCTGACAGACATGGAATTAAGAAAATCTAGATGGATAGACTGAGCAAGGCAGGGGTGTTTCTCTAAGCTTTGAGGGGCTGGGAATCAAAGATTTTGTAATGTGCACTGATTTTTTTTTTTTTTTTTTTTTTTTGAAGTTGCTTTTAGCATGTTGGTTTTAGTCTTGCCAGCAAATGTTTGGACTGCTAATGGAAATGTTTCACACTCTAATTCAGCTCACTGTTTAAGAGGGAGATTGAGAGGTGACAGTTAAATCACTATTTGTATTATGGTATATGATCATGTTAGAAATGGCACTTAATAGAAACTGTTCCCTGCTTTTAACACTAATATCGAAGTTAGTGGTCTAAGAGTTTGAGCCCTTATAAATGGGTAGATGGAATTAAAAAGTGATTATCAAAATGGGCCAGAGTGGGGCTGCTTTTTATCTGCTCTGTGAGTTTCTTTGAATATTGAAATGATAGAACAACATGAGGCAAAAAAAATCTCTCTACAGACTCTTCTGTGTACTAGGCTGAGACTGCTTTTACTGTGCTGCACAATTAGTTTAATATAAGAACTGGAATAAATAGTTATCTGTAATTCTGTGGCATCTTGCAGTTCCTGATGTTGGTTAAAATAATCAGATACACATTGGAAATTAAGGTTTTGTTTAGTTTTCAGATGCTGAATGATAATTTAATCTGAACTGTCAGAAATACAGCAACAGAAGTACTGTTCCTTCTGAAAACATTGTCGAAAAACACATAAAGATAAGTTCAAAATATGTAATAGAAGAAATAACATTAATTCTCCAGGCATCTTAAGGATTTTATTGTTGTTTTGTTTGGAGTATTAAAGCTTCATAATGAAGGGAAAAAAAAAAACAAAACACCACCAATTGAGCTCTTTAAAAATCTTAACTTAAAAATGCGGCAGCCTAGTGTGCTGAGAACTACTGTCCTGCTTCTACAGATACTCTAAATAACATAATCAATGGGGCTACAGATTAGTCCCTTATATAGTCAGAAAAACTGTAATTGTGTAAAGTCTTTGCTGCTTTCAAGCAAGAAATGCTTGTTAATGCCTTTAAACATGCTGATTTCCTGTTTCAGATCCAGCTTGTAAGTATTTACTTAAATAAACTGAACATGTATGACACTTACTGACGTTGCATGCAACATCCCATTGAAATACTTGCTTATCAGCCCTGGCAAGACTCTTTTGTTGTAGCATTTGGAAGGACCTGTTTGGTTCTAGTTAAAAAGACACTTTTAATGGTTTGTGGCTGGTCTATAACTGTCTGCTCAGTGAAAGTATTTTTATGGTCATAAGTCTCCTAGCCCTCACTGTAACAGTCGGTGTAGATGAAATTGTACAAATCAATTTCTCAGGTTTTGGATACACAAAAGTACTAGATATTATTAACAGTGTTTCCTTACTTGTATTGTGTTTAAAATGTGGCTTCATGGAGAAATTAATGATAATAACTGCAGTTTTTCAAATCGTAGAAGCTAAAGAAACAAGTCCATAGTACCAGTCAGAACTGTATCAGTCAGGTTTTTATTCACATTATGTATTCTAGGGAACTTGTGATTTCAGAGGACAGGAAGAAAAAAAGTAACTTCTTCCTACGCTGAAGTAGAACAGGGCAATAGTTGGTACCCTCTGTTCTTATGAATGCATTATTTAAGAAGATGCTACTATTTAATGGTGTAGCTCAAATACCTTGTTAGTTAACTAACAGTAGAAATTAAGGAGATAAGTGAAGACCCTTGACCATTTTAAATATTTCAGCATGAACATGGAAATCATGTGCAAGTAGGTTGGTGACTCTAATAAGGCTTTTCACGTACGTAAAAATGTATGTGTTCATATCCTGAGCCATAACAATTATTCCATAGCTCTGTGAAAGGTCATGTGAAAGGTAAAAATCTACTTGTAGCTTTTAAAGAGTTATAACATTGTTCTGATACAAACCTGTAGAAATGTTAAGGATTTATAAACATTGTTTTTTACAGTATAAATAAATTAAATTACTCATTCTGAACAAATCTTTAATGGAAGCAGCCACTGTTCCTTATGTTGAGGCTTCAGCTGTAGATTGTCTAACAAGTAAACATTCAGAGATGGAAAGTTTAAAGACAAATAAATTCCTGACATTTCTTGCTTCTAATGTAGGCCTTGATTCTAAAGCAGCACAGTCACATGATTCAGTTGCTTGTATCAGGTTATTAATTCCATAACCATACTCTGTGGGTGATATATATGCCAGTAATGCTAATTACAACTAGCAAGACAACATTCCTTCCTTCAGAGAAGGAGACAGACTAGGCAACTTATGACCCATTTCCATTTTAAACAGACACTCTTTTCAGAGAAGCCTGTTTTGGCTGAATTTCTTTGAACTCTTTTAGTAATGGGTAGGTATAAGAACAGCAGTTTTCTTCATACAGAAACTTAAGTTTGAGCTCTTTAAAATGAAACTTTGCCCCCAAGCAATTAAAAAACTCTTTTTACAGTTATTAGATGCCATTACTGTAATGAGGGCAAACCTTGGGCTGGCACGAAACACTAATGAGCTTATTACTTAAAAAAAAATAAATCCTTTATCACTAAAATCTGACAGTAAAAAAGCTTCACTAATTTACCATCCCTGTGCTGGCAGCCAGGCTCACTAGCACTTCCAGGCTTTTTGACAGTTTTACCACGGGAAGTTGACACCTACTAACTGAACTGTGGGTGTAGACTTGGCCTCAGTATTTGGCATCTTGAGTACCACTTGAAGTAGAAAGGGTGAATTTGCTTGTGTAGTAGTTGTAAAATATTCCATTCATTATGGCTGTTCTGCAAGGAGTAAACTGTAAAATACCAAATGTTTGTGTACCAATACCTAGTTGCCTGACTTCTAAAATAAAATTACAGCATTTGCATTTGTTCTGTAGATAACTGTCTTCCCTGTGAGTTGATTTAAAATTCCTTGTGTGGATGCAATTTTGGGTAAAGTGCGTAGTTATTCCAGTGCAACAGGTAGTGTCCTGCTTTATTCCTAAAGCTTTGTCTTCACTTTCATATGTTAAAAGAATAACTTTGCTCATGAAATACAGTGCTGAAGTGACCAGTTCAAGACGTGGTCTATAAAATTCTCTCACTTTGCTTTCTTCTGTGGACCTTCTTCAGTGAACATAAATGAATCGTTGCCCAAGTTGAGTGTGATGCAATACCCCTTCTGCACAAATGTTGGAAGGCTTGGGGGTTTTAAGTGACAGACCAGTAATTTGTGCGGTATACTGCTTAGACTGCCACACAGACCGCAGTCAGTGGCAGACACCTCCTAAACACGCGTTCTTGAGTGGGTATTCTTACTGTGAGTAGCTATACTTCACCTGTTTAGCATAGTCATCCTGCTTCTGTACATAAAACTTGGTGTTGGTAGGCTTCAACGCTTTCTAGGTATTGATGTGTGCAAAACTTACTGCTCACAACTCTTGTTAATGATTTTCTTAATCTTCACAGGTCTAGCAAACGGAGGATCTGTTCCCGTAACAATGGCAGCAAAATCATCACTCCTCAAAGTAATACTGCTAGGAGATGGTGGAGTTGGGAAGAGTTCCCTTATGAACAGATACGTCACCAACAAGTTTGATGCACAGCTGTTTCATACAATAGGTGTGGAATTCTTAAATAAAGAGCTGGAAGTTGATGGACATTTTGTTACAATGCAGATATGGGACACAGCAGGTCAGGAACGTTTTAGGAGCTTGCGGACTCCTTTCTATAGAGGTTCTGACTGTTGCCTGCTAACCTTCAGCGTGGATGACTCTCAAAGCTTCCAAAACTTAAGCAACTGGAAGAAAGAGTTCATTTATTATGCAGATGTCAAGGAGCCTGAAAGCTTTCCGTTTGTGATACTGGGTAACAAAGTTGATATCGATGAAAGGCAAGTGTCTACAGAAGAAGCCCAAGACTGGTGCAGGAATAATGGCAACCATCCCTATTTTGAAACCAGTGCAAAAGATGCCACTAATGTTGCAGCAGCCTTTGAAGAAGCTGTTAGAAGAGTTCTAGCCTCTGAAGATAGATCAGATCACTTTATTCAAACAGATACAGTAAACCTTCATCGGAAACCAAAACCCACTTCATCTTGTTGTTGACTTAAAGATTTATTTTTTTTTTTGCCATATTACTTTTGACTAGCTTGCTCTGTAAAAGGATGGTGAAGGTGTAATAGATAAAATAACAAATGGGTTTCACTCTAATGTTAAATTGTCATAATCTGCTGCTTTCTTGGGGGAGCAAATGAAAAATTTTCATTCATGAGTGACCTGTTACTGAATTAATGACTCTTTCTGTTCAGGAAGGTGTCAAGTAAAAACATTAATATAAGAATGTAATTTGCCAACTTTATTCAAATGATAAATACTTTGAATATAATTAAAACTTAAAAGTTCTAGAAGCACTACTTTGGAGAAACTGTTCTGGAATTCAGACACAAAGATACTTTTATATGGGTATATTTTTATGAAATCAGCATTCCATTTTTGTTTCACTAGAAGTCAGTTTCTTAACAATGCTAGATATTAAACCAGTCTCACTACATTCCTTTTGCTGTGAGTGGTACTTCATCTCTAATTTTATCAAAAACATCTCTGTTTATTATAAGTTAATATAAATTACCTTCAGATTGTCCTCTAATTGCCTAATGTTTCTATTATTTGAGTAGGTTAAGTAGGAAATAAACTTCCTATATATTTAATGTCAATTTTCCTTTACTATTCCAATTTCTGTACTAATTTTCCTAGCAGTTTAATGCAAGATACTGCTGATTTTTTAAGTTAATACATGTATTTGCCTTAAGTCCCATTCTAGTGTGTTTCTGATCAGTAAGGTAAAAAAATCTGAGTAACTGAAGTATAACCATTTTTAGTTATGAAAAAGATACACTTTATTCCTTCAGCTTTAATAGCACTTGAAGGGATCCACGTTATGACAAATTTCTAAGAGAACTTTTAGTATATAGCCTTAAAGTTCCAAACTTCTTGTTCCTGTTAACCTGAGCTGTGAATGTGTTTACCAGTAATCTCTGCACTGTGAAACTAAGGATTGGCAATACGTAGAGAACTCAGGAAGCTCTTGACTTACAGTAGATTGTGACAGCTTTCAGCCCTAATACAAGTAAATACCTACAGCTAGTGTTTGAACCGAATTTGATACTTATTTAATTTGCTATTTTAGGATATGGACTTACACATTTAAGACAATGTCTTTTGTATTACTGTACTCATTACATGATGATGAGCAGAAGCAGATTCTGTATTTAATGGACAGTCTTTCTGCAGTAATGCAGATGAAACCACAGAAAGTGTATCTGAGGCTCTCCATTGCAGTTAAATGGTAGAATACTTGTATGGGAAGTTGTTGAAAGTTGGCTCTCAGAGTACCCACTGTCCTTGTATAGCAAACTTGACAGCGCGCTGTTTCAATGTGTAAACTGACTGCTAACAGGCATGCACATACACATGTTGTGGACTTCAGAAGGAAGTCTGAACCCTATAGGGCAGGCCATGTTATTCACTAAACTGCACAGACTCTGCTTTCTGTACAAGTTTTTGGTTCCCATAGAAAAGCCTTTCTTGAGAGTACAGTACCAGCAAGAGTTTTCTTTTAATGAATCTGTTCAGTCAGTACCAGGTGTAATTATTTGGAAGTAAAGCTTGCAAAACCTTTTTGTTGCTCTTAATAAATACACTCTTCTGAATGTATTGTATTCTTAATTGAACCTTTCTGGGACTTTACTCCATAGATCTGCTGCTCCTGCTTAAAAGTGACATCTTTTTATCTTCTGTACATTCCTGAGTCTTAACTTATTTACGGTCCAGCATATACAGCAACAGAACTGTTTTAAGCTTCAGTCACCTAACACCTAAATATAGGCTGAACTGCTACTTCTGTTACGTTTAATTTCTAGACGATGAATGAAGAGGTATTTGTGAAGAAAACCTTTGCTAAATTCCTCTTAAGATAAAGCATTTTGCTCTTTTGGCTTAAAAAACAAAGATTGTGTTGGGGGCTACTCAGCTAGTGCTATGAACTACTTAAAGCTTTCTCTAAGATTCATTTTAGCAGAGGTTAAGGTTGAAACAAAACTGGAGATAAAGTTACTGTGACTAGAGTACTGTAGATATGATTCAAATGATTCCTAAAAAGTAACAATTATGGATGAGAACCATCATGGTTTTCTTTGTGCCTAAGCATATGTGTTTTCCCATCTGTCCCCTTGCCATGTAATGTCATGGTTACCAAGCCTTCATCTGAGAAGTAGGTTTAATAAAGTTAAATAAAACTTAATATAATAGAAACCTATTACTTGTGCCCTGGGAGCTGCTGTACCATAACTGTACACTAAGCATGAAAGTGGCTAGTAAAGATAAAGGGGGGGTTATGTGCTATAGTAAGACAGTATAGGAATTATGTTGAAGTCAGGATCTGGTCTCAGAGGTAGACTATCAAGTACTTTAAAGAAACAGAAGTCCTATGACAAGCAAATGTAGATGATAGGTACAAAAGAAAAAAACACTTAATAACAGGCGTTTCTGTACTTTCAGTGAAAACTTATTGTTCGCTATGGAGGTAAGGTAGGCACTTGTGGCTTATGTTTCAGTTCACTGATTTGATTCAAGTACTAATGTACCTCAAGTATTAGGGGGTCCCATTAGCAGTATTTAGACAGAGCGTGTACTGTGTAATATGTATGCAAAGGTACAGATGTCCTTGAAAAGGAGGAGCAAAATACTGTCATGGAAAATTGGGATTGATGAAAGCTGTGCAAAATGGGAAGGGGTGGAAGGAACTAGCTAGGACAGCTAATGGCTTATCTTGCAGAAAAGTACATAGATGCTTTGTGTAAGACTGCTGCCAGAACCAGGCTGCTTGCTTTAAGAGTTGCTCTGTACCTCAAACAGATCTTACTTTAAGTCATATGGCAGGTTACCTGAACAGCAACAGAACCTTGCAAAGTTGAGTCTAAATTGCATTTCTAGCCTAGATTTATTAAAGCTGGTTCTTGTTTTTATAAGGCTTGTGCTAATGCTCTCATTTCCTTATGCTTGATTTTTGTACTCTATAAGGTAATTCCAGTCCCTGCAACTCAAAACTTTTTTGTTGCCTCTATTGTATAATACAAGTTACTGCTGCTTTCTCACACTGCAACAGATTTGAATTATTCCTAAGCCTCTGAGATGGGTCATGAATATAACACTTGTAAAGGTCTCTCTTCTGCCTTGTCCGTTGACGAACTGTTCATTTTCTGATGAACGCTAGAACTGCATCTTTCAGACCTAGAGCAGATCTATGGCTATCACTGATCATAAGGTAACTTCCTTTCATCTGTTGCTTCCAGATAGCAGTCCTTCAGCTTATTGTAAAAAGTCACAAACCAAAGCATAAACAAATGCTCCTCCATACACAGGGAAATCAGAACTACCTAGCCAGGGTAGAATTCCTTCAGAATTCTGTCCCGAGACAACATTCCTCACCACAAACTCTATGATTGATGTAATGCATTAGCACATAGCTCTCCCTTGCCTGTGGCCAGTAACAGCCTATTTTCATAAATGGACCTATGAGACTGCATTTCCCATTTACAATTCCTATATGCAGAAGGGGAAAGACTGTATGAGGGGGATAAGAACAGGCACCATTTGGGGAACTGCCTTCAGAGATGAGGCAAGATGTTAAATGCTTTCATTTTACATGCTACTGTGTGCTGGCAGAAAAGAACACAATTATCAAAAACACCCCAGTTTCTAAAAATGGTGGAAATTCCTGGCACTAATCCTTCATCTATGCCAAAAACTTTTCTTAACTGCCACATATAGGATTATTTAACATAAGTATTTCCTCAGTGAATTAGTGTTTTTCCATCCATCAGTGCTACTGGGGAGGAGGTAGAAAACAGCATTAAGAGCTCCAGCTTAATGGCTCCTTATATGAATGAGAACGCTTTACCTCAAGTCTGTTTCTGATGCTTTCACATATATAGCAGAAAAAAACCCAGTTGATTTACATAAGATCATGTGACTATCAAAATGCTGTACAATGCATTTTTTTATGAAATAACTGCAAGACAAGTAATGCCATCTTCACTTGTCACCCCACGAATAAAGGTAGCCTTACTGTGATCATCATCTTTTCTCCTAAATTATTTCAAGTATACTCAACAGGCAGCCATACTGCATCATTCATTTTATTTAAGGTAAATATTGCAACCTTTATATCACGTTCTTTTTCTCATGGGAGTATTTTACAGTGACAGTTTAGCAGTAAGTGTAAATTACAAAGAAATAATGACTGACTATACAGTTAAAGAACATACAAATGGTCCCTTTAATTATACCTCCTAGAACAGCACACCATTTCTTTTGGAAACTACTTTTCAGACATTTTAAAATAAGTCCAAGAAGATAGCTTATACAGATTTGCTGCGAAAGGAAACAGGCTACTTAACAGATTGTGAAACAACCAAAATATTAGGTAAATATATGCCAAATGATCCATTTAAAATTCACTGTTTTGGAATGATGGTAAGTTTTGCAAAAGTGTCCCTAACCACATTTTACAATATAATAGTAGCCACACAGGCCAAATAATGCTGTTCTGAAAGCTGAATAAATAGTTCAATGATTCAGAAACTCTAAATGTATTTTCAAAATGAAAATTGCAGCACTTGCAGAGATACTGGAAAGAGGTGGGCTTGAACGTGTAAATTTAGTTTGGTTCTTTCCATGTGTGAATTAGAATTAAAGTCAGGGCAGACACAGCTGTTCTGGTCTATTTCATTCATTCATTCATTTCATTGATGCAACACTGCAGCTAAACATGTATTGCACTAAACATCTGGTAAATTTGAAATTTTAAGCTTTAAAACTTAACTTTTTAAGCTTCTTGAAATACTAAGGACATAGCTTTGCTGATATATCCTCTTTCCTTTTTATTGAGCACTTTAGAATATATACAATTACACATTAGAATATCAATACAGACCTTATTGGATACCACAAAGAGTGAGAGGTTAGTCTGGTTAATCTGCAGAGTAAGTTCTCTAGCAAAGGAGTGTAAGTATAAAAGTTTATAATAAAATTAACCACTTGGGCCAAACAGTCAGGAATTCACTTTTGCTCATATTAAATCACATGACCAGAGCTGTCTTCTACAATGAGATCTGATTTCCTCCCACCCTGTATAAGAGGCTTACATTCTGCATACGTGCTGACACCCACATGTCTCAGTTTGTACCTATTCAGCCCCTGACATTTTTAAACTTAGTTTTCATAGCACATTAAAAGAAACTTCTTAAGATACACATTTTAACCAGGGAAGCTTTGCTGTTTTTATCTGTACTGGCCAAAAGAAAAAAAACTGCTTCAGCATCCACTTTGTCAGTCTTCAGAAGATGAGTATCAAACATGCTGAGAACTAACCTCAAGAACTAGAGTTCAAATAATCAGGAAAGTATGGAAAAAGCACTCACTCAGGAAATGTATTTATTTAGCTTAAAAGGTGTTTCTTCCCAAGGAACTGTACTTTCCTTTCAAAGGCACTGGATCGAATAGGAGAATTGAGTTCATAAAATGGATTCATTGCAAACTGAGGAAAGAAGAAAAACTCATCAAACAGCACAAGATCCAGCACTGAAAAATATTACTTCGAATGGCAGCTATATTGTTGGTCGTCAGCCTATTTCGTACCACTTTAAGAGCACAGAGCTCCTAAACAGCCACTCGCTTTCCAGGCACTTGCATTCTCCCCATACATACACGCAGCCATCCCTTAGTACCAGCTCCTCAGAACAAATCAATCACGACACTGGTGGAAATGTCTGGTTTGGGAATATGTAAGCATCACCCGAGTCTCCGCAGGCAGAAGAGATGGCCACCTCCCCCTCACCCGTGCTTGCGACTGCCCCATCTAGTGGAAGGACCACCGGGCTACTCATTCTCAGGGCAAAGTGCTCCCACCAGCCTTCTGCAGAACAGTCCTTTGCTTTCGTTATCAGCATTAATGACACAATACTGTCCAAAAATCACTGGACTAAAATGAAGAATAAATTCTGAAAGAGCACCGTTTATAACAATTTAGAAAAATCTACTCTGTTTAACGGAAAATAGAGCCTTTATGTCACGTTATCAACCCTGGTTAATGTGGACTGCACGGGTGCTTCTCCACTTACATAGGCCCCCATAAGAAAATTCACTAATACAGTCATGCTTGTAGAGAACACACTTACAAATACTGCAGTGAGACCATAAGAAGAGGGTTCTTACCTTTATATACAAGTCATATACATCATTAAAGAAGTTCTTAATTCCATCTTCTTGCCTTACATCATGAAGCATTATAAATCTCATATGTAAAGCAATTAAGGAAAATTTAACTTTTACAAATGAGAGACATTTAATAGATTCTGAAATAAGCATTTACACCTAATTCTGCATATACTTAAAACAGGTGTACATGAAATAGCAATGACTATAGGAGGAAGCATTAAAAGAAGTAACTGGAGCAGTGAAATTCTGAAAGCAGTAACTTTTATTTTAAAATACCCCTATTGGAAAATAGAAATAATCACCTCTCTATTCAAAGTTATTCTTTTTAAAGCTAGACAATTCTTTGCCATATACCCCTGAAGTTAAAATGAGATGCTATGTTACTTGCTATGTATAACAGATGTTTCACACTTCTAGGACTACCCGATCAAGCCTTGACACAATATTTTCAAGGCAGGTGTGACTGACACCAAGCATGTTTATCCCTGCATCTTCCCTCCAGCACTGTCAAAGGGATGGGAACAGAGAATCATACAAGCTTACTCAGACCCTCTCATATTATTGCCCTCTCACTCCTCTTTCCTCTACTCCATGTGAGGTCCACATTTCATTAGGCTATTTCTGCTCCTCCAAAAGGAAAAATCCACCTTTCTAATTGGTCCCAATTTTCAACAACTGCTGTGCGTTACAACTTCCTTCATCCTGAAGCTGGTGACTCTCTGACAATAATAGTGGTGAATAGCCAAAGAAATCTGTTCCAAACCCATTTTATCTAACTTGTCCCTTTCTGGCAAAAGGCTTTTCCTATATAGGTATAAGGAAAGAGAACAGGGAAGGATATGTCCAGCTGTGACAAAAGCAGAAACAAACCACTCATTAAACTTGTCCACAGTCTTCAGATACATGTTGTTAGAAAGCCACATGTTCTCATCTACTAGGTCAAGAGCAGCATGGGCAATGAACTGGTTGAGATGGCGATGATCATCCTAATGTATTTCCAGGAGACAGAGGATTAGTCACTCAGTGAAAGGGGTGAAATATTAACAATCATTTGCTCAAGTTGCTAAACAACTAGTGCTCGTTATGTGAAGTTATATATAACCTTATTTTCTGCAACATTATGTGCCATCCTGTAATTAACAAATGTATATACTGTAACTGACACTTGGTTTCAAGGGAAAAAAAATATTGTAGTAAAAAGGTCATCACAAAAACAGTCTTGAGAGCAGCAAAACCAATAAATCCTATATTTATAGCCCAGAAATTAATTCAGGCAAGAATTATTTTGTTTACCAATGGGTCATCTCCCACTGTAAAATTATTCCACAATGGAGGCCCCGATAAAAATATTTTTCTCTGCTTTCCAGTCAGCTGTTTTTGTGAAATTTTCATCAATTCAGCATTTTTTGGAACATAACATCTCTCAAATTTGCCAGAAACAAGTTATGATGTGTCTAAGTTGGGGGAGGTAGGGAAATCAGAGGTATAGATACGTTGATAACATTCTCACCTAAAGATTCTGTTTTTTCAGGCTATTTGCTTAGAAACATAGGATTTTTTAATTGGTTTGGGGGTTTTCTTTTTCATAAGAACCTAGTGTAGAAAAACATCCTGCAACTGGTATTAAATATATGCTTGCAGATGTAAATTACACCTCTTCCTTTAATAAACACAAACGGCCTTCACAGAGTAATCACAGCATTTGGCCCTAACACTGCAAGAGTCGTGTGGGGAAAGAGCCATTTACTTTCTATACAAACTAGAATACTGCAGGGCATCTGCCAAGAAGAAACAGGGGACTAAACCATACTGTAAGCTTCTATTAGACTGGAAACATAAGTAGACTTGCACTGTTTCTCATAATATAGGGATGCTATTAATGCCACTGTCACACCCCTCAGTGTACTGTATTTTTCCTTCAAATCAAGTTTGGCTCAGGGCATTAACAGCTTTGCCAGTTCCATTAAATCACACCGAAGAAGAGATTAAATAATGAAGCTCAAGGGGCAAAAGCTCATGCTGATTAACCACATCCATTATGCAAACCCTTACTTCAGGCAGCTGTGCATCTGCACTGAATTCACTCTAAAATGGCATGTCTCAAAACAGAAGCAATTGTTGCCAAAACATATCAATGTCTACTAGTTCTCCTTGATGTCTACTAAACATCAAGTTTAGATACTCTCTTAGGAGAAAATTTAGTACTTCAGCCTCAGCCAGACAAGAAGCTTACCCAAGACAAGTTACTTCAATTGGCAAAATGCAGAAAATTAATTTTTCCACTATTGTGGACATGTCACATCCTCACACTCACTAAGCCTAGTCCAACTGGCCTTATTTATGATCTTTTATGGGATACTAGTTCAAAATACAGATGATGCCATGCTGTTCAAATCAGTGACAGCATATACTTCCATTTTTGGACACACAGACTGACTTTTATTCTGAAGTTTATTGTTTCTTCAATGTAATATCTCAATAGATAGATCTGTTCTTTTCCCACTGGAAACACTACTTACTGAGTAGTCTTACACTTCTCACATTTTCAAACTCATATTTATCAGTACAAGATTTAAACCTTTCTTACAAAGCAAGTATGACTACGGAAGATGTTTAAGATTTTTTTTATAGCGTAAAATAATAAAGGACTGAATAGAGCTTTTAAATTTATGTTCCTTACTTTACCTTATTACTATATACAGATGCCTTAAAATAGAGAACGACAGTAAATAGCCTTAAAAATGAAGAGTTATTAAAAAAGCTCTAAACACTAAGAGTAATGACCAAAGCATGACTAGCATATATATTCTTCACCATACAGCATCAAATATGTAAGGAAACCATGTTTTATGAAGAACTAGTATGATCTGGCAAAGAATTTTTAAGAGACTCAAGGAGCTGAGTTCTACTCCCTATGATAAAGCTTCTGTAAAAAAACAGAAAACAGTCAATATTAGTAATACTTTAACATGCTGGTCATGCTTCAAATACACTGTAATATTATAAAAGAAAATGAACCATAATTACATCATAGGAGTATCACAGAGGAAAAAACACACCTTGGACTCTACTTTTCCAGGAGGCAGAAATTCCATTTCAAATATAGGATTATCATGATGACCAACTATCACGAAGTAGAAGCTTCCAGACATTCTTCAAAACAGTACTCCTTACAAGAAAAGACAGGTATGCCGATGAATCTATATACAACATCCATGTGAAAGTGCCCCTAAAAATCTGCCAACACGCTTCCTATAGTATTTACCATAGGCTAAAGAGAAATACTTTCTTAGGTATGCACATTTAGACTCAAACAGGGGGAAAAATACCCTTAGAAAGCGCAACACCTCCTGGAAGTGAGGCTAGGTGCTACCACCTCAAAACGTTTACTCTGCAACCGACCGACGATTTACTTGATCCTCTGCCAGCCCCCCAGTGACTCTGGACGGCAACGACCCTATGAAGCGACGTGGTGCACCCGCCTCTGCAGAACCTCCTCACCCGTCTCTCCCTGGGGGCCCTACGGGCAGGCAGTAAAAAGGAGAAGTCCCAGGGCCCGGCTCCATCCCCGGGGACTGCAGAGTTACCCGAGGGCTGCGACACCACACCACTTCCCCCCCGCCGCGCCCCAGCGCCCTGAGGCCCGCCCAGGCCCTCGGCGGCTCCCCCGTGCCCCGCCGGGTTGCCGCCTCCAGGGGAAGGATCGGATGCCG